TAAAAAAACCACGAAAAATAACTCTTGAAAGAGTAAGTATATCTGGTTATCGGGAAAAATGATAATCTATGCGTCAATAATAATCCCAGGCTCAAGAGAATTTTAATATAATGAAATTTGCTATATTTATGCAAGAACAGTGTCCAATATCAAGGATAGGGCTTATATAGATATAACCAGGGTGGATATAGAAATCAAAACTTTATGAAGTATACGATGTTCATTTCTGCAAGCAAGCGAACGCACACACATCTCTCTCTCACACTCATATATATAATAATATATATATATATATATATATATATATATATATATATATATAATCAAAAAAGTGCGGGTCGAAGAATGTAATATACACTGTTTAGAATAAAAATAAAAATGAAGTGTATTTCAATCACGGGTATCTACCAAATATAACGTTTAATTTGTTGGTTTAAACGTTATTTTTTAATGGATATTTATATTTAAGTAGATGCTCTGATTTTATTATTAAACACTATATTTATTTACCGGCCTGAATATTCTAGAAATCTTGTTTAGAAGAATAGGCACCATCCGGCAGGATGTGAACCTTCGTCAACCGTCATTAGATGTCACGTGCCTTGACCTCCCAGCCGCGTATGACATCCTGATCAGACAAAACCCGTGGGCGCATGTATAACAGTTGAAAATTCTAGTGTAGATAATGAGGAAAGAGAGCTTGGAAATTTTGATACTCACAGGACATTAAATGAAAGAGGGATATAGGATAAACAACGAAAAACCAACCTAGCGAGTAAATGGATGGCGGAACAAGGTTTAGGGGAGAAAAAAAAAGATACAATTTATTAAGAGCGACAAAAGAAAGGACATCGTGGAGAACCCTGATCGCCAACGTCCTGAAGGGACACGGCACATAGAATAAGGGCATTGTGCATATTGATATTGGGCCCCATTTCTATAAATGCTGCAAAGTTTAAACAATAAGCACACGCACGTATATATAACGGATGTAACAGTAAAATTGTTCATTTGTTAGATTAAGCTTTGAACCGTTCTAACTTAAAAATGATTAAAGATATATTACTGGAATTCTCTGAGAATTTTATAACACTAGTGGACTCTACTTTGAGCAATAAGAATGTATAATTACTCTCCAAGTTTAACAGAAGTGATGAAATCGATCATAAACGAAAATGACATGCTCATCATTAATTAATCATAGCTAAGCATCAGCAGCTCATGAAGTATTGAGATAAAGTATTGAGACAAATATATGTTATTCCAGGATCATTTCCCAACTTATACAAGATTATCTTAACCCTCTCTAACCTTCTAACTTTCTGTCCTGGAGTAACAAGTTGCCTCAAATGTTTCACATACGATTTCGTTTTCAAATCTTTTTTTCACTGATCTTTGGTAACCCCTCTCTCAAGTGCCAAGCATCTTATTAACTGAGTTTGATCTTTTCTAATTGATCTATGTTGAAATGATGATCGCGCTTCCTGTTCTGAACTCATAATCCAGTTTTTCTCTTTAATGTTCCCTATTTTTAAAACTTATTCGCCGTTCTCTTGATGGTTCTTGAATGAACTTTGATGATGGAAGCCAAAGTATAATTGTTGGTATCATTACTGAAGGCCTGAATGATATTTTTCCTCTCAGCATTGCTCAGTTGGGAAGACAGTAGGACTGACAGAAAACGATTTTAGCCTGTTCTCTTTCTAGTTGTATCACGGAAAGGATTTTTTTAGTAATTCTTACGACAGACAAGTGGTATTAAGATGGCTAGATGTTATTATCTGAAAAGCTGGAAGAAAGAAACTCAATTATTTTAGTAGTTTTTTTAAACATCTTGTCGGCTGGACAAGTACGCTGTTACACAATTTGGACAATTTTGCTGTTACACCCCGTATATTGCGTCTACTTATATATATATATATATATATATATATATATATATATGAGAGAGAATAAATAAATGTACCGGGGCGTCTATTCTGATATGAGTATCCACTAAAAATAACGTTTAAAGTGATTATATATATATCGTATACACATTTTACCTATATACAATTTAAAGATCCGTATCCTTATATACTAGTAAAATCGCGTGTATTCTTAGGCGTTAACACATTTCTGAACAGCATTAAATACGTACATAGATGTATATATAAATACACGCAAATACTTTGTAATCATGGATCGATATATACTTAAAATCAAATTTGTTATTTACATTTAATTTTAATATATACATTATGAAATAAACATATACTTATGATATTCACAAACGGTATATATATATATATATATATATATATATATGGATGCTTACCCATTTTTTAATCAGTTGTTTTTCTAGCCTACAAATGTTTGTTCATTTCGAATTCGTTTGCGTCGTGAAAGCGTAAAAAAGCAAGAAGAAAGAATTCTATATGGTCTTAATACCACGACAGTTAACATTTGGGAGATCAAAGGAAAATTTCTATCAAGGCAGAGGACGGTAGGAAGGTGGAAAGCAAAGAAAGAAAACATAAATAAAAGAAATTGTGTAATGTTCAGGATATGGTGGCGGTGTTGAAGAAGAAACGAACAAAAAGCAAAAAATAACATCGACCACAATTATTTACATTGGAAAACGCGCCTCCTAACTCATTAATTCATACATTAACGCTAAGGTTGTGCGTTGGGCATCAGTTTTTAAAAGTTTAAGCAAACCGAATCGGCTCAAAACAAATGGGCGAAAATTGAGGCCTCTACATCTTTCGTACTGGTTTCTAACACTTGAGCTTTATCGACCATTACAACTCATTTTAAAGTTTCTCATCACTGTTACTTTCCAGAAGACGAGGTATTTTATTCCAAATATGTTTCGGGAGCCTCAGACACCTCACGTTATAACATTAATATCGGTTGGATCTTTTCTGTTAATTCACCCGAAAATAATATATATATATATATATATATATATATACACACACTGAAAATTCTCACCAATTCCTCCCAGAGTGAAGCTCTTCCATTGCATTCTAGTTTGGTTGACCTTTGTGATCGCCCCAAATGTCGGCGACTGGGGAGCGCTATTTCTAAGTGGGAGGTCTCCGATCGCGCTTATCCAGAAAAAAAAACCAAACAGATTTTTAATTTTTTTTTTTTAAATTGTAAAAAATTCCTAATCCGTGCATAAAATTTAATAAACAAACTTTCATTTCAAATTTATAATTTCAAAAGAGTACCAAATATTTAATAAAAATATCAGAGAAACTTCGATTTAAAATGTATAATTTCTTGGGTTGAATTAATATTTCCGATAAATAAGGTTACATTATTTGGGGTGAATTTAACAGAAAAACGGCTGATCCGGTGGTGTACATTCTGTAGCCTAGTTCCCCCGCCAATATAGAGTGACCTCTTCTGAAGCCGTGTACTATCCCGATAACCCCCATCTCGGCTATAGCAACAAAACCTAAATGAAAACAGGGCAATGCATTTGGAACTGAGTTCACTGCAGGAGTTGCATGATGTTTCTCAACATTCGATGGCCAACCGCCTTCGGTACTCCATCCTGGTTTTTCTGCTTGGATTTACTTTCATATCCTTTTCCTGTGTTTGTATGTGACCGATGAACTGCCTCCCCAGGCGGACTAGTTCTATCTACCCAAAATATAATAATTATTATGGACCAGAAGCACTGTATATATCTGTGTGTGTGTGTGTTCGGGGAACAGTGCTCAATATCGTCAGAAATAGAGCATTTGGAGATGGTGTGGACCAGAAAACACCACTACATAATAACTGACGGTTTCACATCATGCATGATCATCAGTCAACGTGCTCTATTGATTTCTATATCCACACGGTGTGTGTGTGTGTGTGTATGTATATATATATATATATATATATATATATATATATATATATATTAGTGAATATTATATATGAACACTCAGAGGCGACAGGATGTGTTTCATGCTAGACGCAGCCTGTCGCCTCTGAGTGTTCACTTCAATGTTCACTAATATATTTATATACGCTCTTTCTCTGATATTGAGCACTTTATCCCATAAATATATCACACCTTAAAAATCTCTCTCTCTATATATATATATATATATATATATATATATATATAGTGTGTGTGTGTGTTTCGAACCTTCATTTTCTGACCATGAGACCCGGGTTCAAATCTCACCATGGTCAATTTGTCAAGAAAGTGATTTCTTAATGTTATCGGTCTGAATGAAGCGATCTCAGCGTGCAGCACCTTTCGAAATATCCAAGCCTTGTGAGTGAAATAAGATGATAAACTACAACCTTCAGCAAAGCTTCTGATCAGAAAGTTTTGAGGAGCGTGTAACCACCTCTTAATTGCTGGTGTTCCCAGGTCCACCCTGACCCAGGATGATAGCACCTGTTAGGGTACCAGCTATAGGCAAATAGTTAACCTCCAAACTGGAGTCAAAACACTAAGAAAGTGTAAAAATAGGTTTTGATACCAGAAATACTTTGTAAAATAAATTACTACCAGCAATACATTATTACCAGGAAAACATTTTTGAAAAAAAAAAATAAATAAATAACAGTAATACATTAAAAAAAGCTATTACCAGCAATAAAAATTTTGCCGGCATTAAATAACCTATTGAGGTTGATACGCCGTAAAACGAACCGAATCAAACCAAACCTTAATTATTAACGACCACCGTAAGTCACAAAACTACATTCATATCTGTTTCTTTCTATCTATCTCAATCAGAGTCTCTACATATATATTTCAGTCCTTATATATCGATGTTTGAGTTTCAAATAAACATACAGGGATAATTATTTTTTTTAAATTAAGCCCTGTCATCCTCATTCCAACCACCGAATCTCTTTTATTAAACATTCAGAAAATTGCTTTCCATCGCTTCATTTAAGTTGCGAGCTTTTGAAAACAACGTGTTTTATTAATAAAAATTATGAAAAAAATCCAGTCGCCCTTTCTAATTCAACCACCCTATCTATTTGAAACTCAAATGTATCCATCTTGGTTATCTATCCCAGTCTTTTGCTATCTATCTAGGACAGAGGTCATCAGTAAGTTTTAAAAACGGCGGCATCATGCCACACTTCATCTTTGATGCTATTTGAGCCATTTTTAGGCAAATAAATATACACATTAATGTAATTTCTATTTTTAAGTTAGTTTTGTCAGTTTCTCTACTTATGCTGAATTTAAAGAAATAATTGATGACTCGTCTAAGTGTAACACCTACAATATGAGTTAGTCTAAAAAAAATAAAAAATAAAAAAAGCATATTTCGTCCACAGGCAATACTTAAATATGCTGGTCCCTTCGTAAAAAATAGGGAAAAAAAAAAGATTTGGAAATATTTTTTGTAGATTAGTATACTTGTCATAATCGGAAAATGTTCATCATTCGATACAGTGTAAAATTGATCCCTGACTTTGTTTTTTTTAGTTTTTTTAATATATAAATAGAGGTTTTTTTTTGAGGGGGGGGTTACAAAAAATAAACATTCTCAATAAAGAATAAACGGATTCTTTTAGTTAAAAGAACCAAAATTTACATAGTTTTTAACAATGGTATTCAGCCGGTATAAGGCCCGAGAGCCACTCGAGGTAGAGAGCTACATAGTAAGAGGCACAGATTTTGCAGATATGTGGGTAAGATAAAAGTACGTCAACCCTACACTTGAACAGTTTAAGATTGTAATGATCTCTTAGGCGTCGGTTCCACAAAACAGTTGTTCGTGGGAAGGTTTGGTTTGTTTTACGGAATATCAACATGAATGGGTTATTTAATACCAACAAGATTTTTATTGCTGGTAATATATTCTTTTTTTTCAGAATTGTATTGCTGGCAATATTTTTTTAAAAAGTATTGATGTTAATTTTTTCCGAAAATGTATTGCTAGTAATATTTTTCTTTTTCAAAAATATACAGCTGGTAATAATGTATTCCTGGTCATCATTTTTTGTTAAAAAATGTACTGCTGGTATTTTTTTTCCAAAAATGTATTGCTGGTTAATTTTTCTCACAAAAATGTATTGCTGGTATTAATATTAATAGTGATATTTTTACACTTTCATAGTTTTTTTTTTTTTACTCCAGTTAGGGGTTAACTATTTGCCCATAGCTGGGATCCTAACAGGTGCTACCACCCAGTGTCAGGGTGGATCTGTGAACACCAGCAATTAAGAGGTGGTTCCACGCTCTTCAAAAACCTCCTGATCAGAAGCCTTGCTGCCGGATGTAGTTTGTCGTCTTAGCCAGGACGGTGTTCGCAGGAAGAAGCTACTCGAGTGGAACTTACATCTCACCAATGGAATACGAAGAGAATGACAGTCGTTCGCTAGAATATTCGTTATTCTTCATTTGAGATAAATAATTATTTTCCCCCAATGTTTATGCATGTGTTTCCGAAAAATAGTCTCCCAACTCCTAAAAATAAGTTAAAAGGAAAACAAAACAACAAAAAAAAAAAAACATGCACAGTTTCTTGATGTTTGTTTTTGTTGTAACCTAGAAAAGGTTACTAAATGAGGAATAACCAAAATAGAGGTTGCAAATGAAATGGTAATCTTTATAACATCAACAAAATACAATACTCACCAACAGTATGAAGTAGGTAAACCACTGCCAGTGGTGGACTATTAGACAGCATATTATCCCCACTTACAATAGTGTCCAACGTATTTATGAGGATTGCGACATACCCATTAGTGTTCATAGGTACGGCATATAATAGTTTTATTTAATCCATGAAATATTTTTTTTAGAATTTACGAAATTAGTTTTGAGACAATAATGGTTTCAGTCATACAAGTCTTACTAATTAATCCATATCTGGGGAGAAATTGTAGATTCATAGCTTTTCCAAGAGTATTTGCGCGAATATAAGTGAATATAAGGAACCCAACGTGAACTAGAACTCGGCTCTCTGATTAAGAACTCCCAGCCCCTGGCATTATGATATTTTTGTTTTTAATGTTTGAGTAAATAGCTGTACATAGAGAATGTACTACAAAGACCGCCCACCTATATTTGGTAAAATCCATCAATATTTATCTATGTGTACATTTTCTAATTTAGAATTCATTTATAAGATGAGCCTTTCTAAAACAGTGTTTCGTTTTCTACGGGTTATCAACCCACTACAGGTTATTTAAAGCCAGAAAATATTTTTTGATTTTAAGAATTTCTCCTTTGTCTCAGATAATAATGGTTTCGTGATACACGTCTTACTAATTAACCCATAGCTGGGAAGGGAGACAAGGTGGATTCATACTTTTCCCACGGGTATTTGCGTGTATGTGAATATAACGAACCCAACGGGAATTGAAACTCAGCTCCCCGATTAACAATTCCGAGTTATTATCGATTACACCACCCACACATCCTAGCTTACAGAATGGTTATCTGTTCGGGATGAGAGATCGGGGAGCCAAGATCGAATTCCGAGTTCGCCATTCACTTACGTCCCCTGCGGAAACTAATGTCAGCCTACTGCGGGGAAAATGTACCTACCTCGTCAGTCATGTATCAAAAGATGCATGATCGCTCCAAACCCGTGTATCACGTGCGGCAAGTGTGACTAACTGACTAACTCATCTAGGAACCGACCAAGCCTGATGTTAATATCTGGGTCCTTATTGTAAAAAGTCAGAGGTCGATTTTACACTGTATCGATATTATAATCCCCCTTTGAAATCGATAAGAAATCAATATGTTTTGATTTTGACAAATTTCCTGGCTTGAGAAAAGTCTGTTAATGAATGCTGATCTACAAAAATTATTTCGCGAAAACTTTTTCCTATTTTTACGAGTGGACCAGTCAACTTAAGTAGTGCCCCTTTCACTAAACTGGACAGCAGAAGAAATCAATAAAGAAATTAATTTTCGAATTGATTTCTCCACACACACACACACACACACATTTTCTTTGCTATACTCATCCAGCTTAATAGCAGCAGCGCCTCTTCCATAAATAGAAAAGTCCATCTATCGATAAAGAAAGTCTCATCACGTCGCCGGACACTTAGGACAGAGAAGTGGGCAACTGGCCACTCCAAAATGGACGTTCTATCTGAATAACGTCGATTTTGACTCTGACGCCGATTCCAACGTCGTCGTCGACTTTTTCTTCTTCTTTGTCGACCGGTACCAATTACACGTCGTGGGCCAAGATACCCGCCCAACTCCTTCATCAGTCTTGATTAGCTCGTTAGCTTTCCTTTCATCTCCGTTCCGGTCAGCGAATGTGTAATTAGCACCGACTCTAAATGATCATTTCATCATTGCCAAGTGACCTCAGTAGGGGAGAAGAAGTAAACGCAGAAGGATGGACGGAAGGTTTCTAGATACATGACCCTCAGCACACACGTGCCCCTATATATATATATATATATATATATATATATATATATATATATATATATATATATATGTGTGTGTGTATTGGCTGTCCAGTGGACATATATAAACTTTCATACTATTTTTATTCGGCCCTATCCCACTCTTTCCTATATCCATGTGTCTGTCTCTGAATAGAAAAAGAGCGATAGAGTTAAAGAATATTATATATACATACATACATACACACACACGAAATTCATATTATATATATATATATATATATAATAAAAAAGTTGAATTAGACCAGGAAATATATATATATATATATATATATATATATATATACCCACACAAAATTCATACATTTTATATATAGATGAATATTTTACTTCGTCTACAAGCTTGATAAAACAGTGTTTAAAATAAGCAGAGCGTCTACTCAAATACGGTTAACCACTAAAAATAACGTTTAGAATAACAAAAATTCATTAATTCTTATATATGGCCTGACGATTGTTTTTAAGCATAAAAGAAACTGTCGCCGCCGGGTGTTGACAATTCAATGTCCACTTTTATATTTACAAATGCTTTACTCCTGACATAGACCACATTAACTCATAAATATAGCATGCCATAAAACTATATAACAACCGACTACTCTTAATTTCCGAGCAGACGGATATGCTATAAGTTGGCTAGCCGATCTCTGCAGCAGACACCAGCTCAGGCACATTTATGTTTGTGCAACACTTACATATGTGATTTATGCTGAAACTACGCCGAGTCAAACATAGCTGCAGTTTTGGAATCATCAGGATGGACAAGGTTAGCACTGTAAAACTCTTGGTCACTATGACGTGTAAATCCGTAGTAGCGGAACTGTCGACAATCTCCGAATTTTTCCGTCTGCACAATTCCACTCACAACCCGAGCTATCAGGAACTTTCCAATGGCGCTGCACGCTCGGATCGCTTCCCCAGAATATTCTAACTACTCACCCATATTTTATATATATCTATATATATATATATATATATATATATATATGTATGTGTTCGCACACGCATGTATTGAAGGTTACTATACAAGTGATAACAAATATATTCTTCATATTGACACGTGTAAGTAATAAAAGTTTGGAGAAAGCAAAATTTTCAGGTGTTTCTTCATCTCTCTCTCTCTCTCTCTCTCTGTCTTTATATATATATATATATATATATATATATATATATATGAATATAATATATGAATTTCGTGTGTGTGTATGTACGTATATATATATATATATATGTGTGTGTGTGTGTATCCATTACATTTGATTACGTGCTAATACCCTTCTCCCGCCAGCTATGGGTAAATATCAGGACAGACTGGGTTCTATAGCCTTGGATGCCAACTGGTCTAGGAAAAAGACAACTCTGAATTCAAAACCTGTGGAGGGTTGTTTGGGGACCTTGTGGCAGGTAGTGCACTAAGTCTCTGTATTCGGCCTTTCAAAAAATGGGGTTGGTTCTGCACAAAACCTTCACCACTACAATCAAATCATATGTGCTGGTGTCTTGCTGTCGGTTCCTGGGAACTGCTTAACCCTCATACGTCGAATACGACGGGAGAGTCCACCATATATATATATATATATATATATTCTTTGTATATTTTTATGTTACTTTTTTATTTATATTGACACGTGTAAGTACAATTTTATATATATATATATATATATATATACATACACAGATGAAGGAGCAGCCGAAAATTTTGTGATTTCTGAAAAAAAATTGTGCTTCTCCGTGTCAATATAAATAAAAAAATACTCTTCTCTCTCTCTCTCTCTATATATATATATATATCTAGAAATCATTATATATAGTGAGATAGATATAGAGTAAGACAGCAGAATAAACTGTGTGCGTATATTATACATGAAAATGGTCATATATATATATATCTAGGTAGGTAGAGAGCTGTGTAAGGGAGAGAAAGACCAACGAGTCGACCCGCCTTTTGAAATAAGTGACACGGAGTTTTGACCCCAATATCGCCATTTCTTTGTTGTCATATAATTGGGTGCTCTGCCATTAAAGATACGTAAATGGCTTCCCTATATTGCAAATATTCCGAATCTAAGACGGAAGATGGAGGGCAGGGAACAACCCCAGTCCCCGTCCCTGGGCCCCATGCAATGTCCGAGGCCAAAGTAATAAACAGTAATACTTTTGACTTTGGTTCTCTTCGAGAGAGGAAGGGAGAGGAGCAAATTTAATCTATATATTATTGAATGGCACAATGTAATTTCTATCCCCGACGTGTGTGCATGCAGCCTTGATACAATGCTGTCTCAGCTTACGCTTATCCTCTATGTGAATCTTAGTTCGCCTCTCTTCGATTTTCTGCCTATCTATAATACCCTCTATATTTGCCAATCTCAATTAATCTGTTCATCTGTCTCTCTCCCTCCCTGCTCTTTTTATCAATCCTCTCAAACTCGTTCTACAATTTAATAAAAAAAAAAAATTAAAGTGAAACTGGAGGGACGTGTTCGAATCTCCGCCCAGTTTTCATTTTGCACAAACGCCATCCGGAAAGTAATTGATCCACGTTTTCTCCAATGCCCCAGATATGGGTTAAATAGTAGAGGCCCCACAGACGAAGAGAAGACTGGAGGTAACAGAAATGTTGTTCTCTAGAATGACGCTAAAAATACCAGGGACAAGGCACGTAAGCCAGAAAGAAGATAGAAAGAAAAACAGCAAAAAAAAAAAAAACAGCAAAAAAAACAAAAAAAACGGACACCTATAATGAGGAAGGATGGCTTGGAAAATCTGATACTCACGGGACAGATAGAGGGACAGAGGAAAACAATGCATAACATGCTTAATAAGCTTGACTAAATGGATTGCAGAACGGCAAATAACAAAAAAACAAATTTTAGGGTTAAATTAAAGGGACAGGAACTTGTGGAGAGCCATGATCGTCCTGAGGGATACGATACATAAAGAAGAAGATATTCAATTAGAAAGAGAGAGCTGAAATTTCTTGGTTAGATAATTAAGACGGAGTGCTTGGAGATTTTGACACACACAGGATATACCGAAGGCAAAGGGGATAGGGGATGGCAACCTACAACCTACCTGACGAGCTTAGGAAGCTATGGAGGGCCACGACCTTCCACCTCTTAAAGAGACACAACAGAAGAAGAAACAGCCATCAAGACTTGGTTAGCAGTCATCTTAGAAGGACAATTATGAATTCAAAACCGTAGAAAATGTGGTGGGAAACCATTCCACTATATTTCCAATAAGTTATGGCAAGAAAATAAAAGTAATCTGTGGATAGCCGTGACTGCCTACCTCCTAAAGAGACATGACATTTAAAAAGTCATAATCTGGATTATATGCACATAAAAATTAAATAATTAAAGTGATAAAGAATTTTCGAAAGATCTAATGTTTTATGCTGGCTTAAATAAAAACGAATCAAAATTGAAACTTATAAATATATAAAAAATAGATTAGGCATTACATTGGATTAAGTAACAACAAATAACAAATAGCTAATGGCTTTTGAATTAAAGACAAATAAAGATAGGCGAATTAGCTTTATAATGAAATATATTTGAAGAGGCTAATATCTTGTGGATTAAACACAATTCAAATGGATCAATTAGACTGAATGCATTTTTCAAACGCTAAGGCAATATATAGGATTCAATATAGAGAAATACTGACAATTTAGATTGATAAAGAAATACATTTTTAAGAAGCCAATGTCTTGGGGATTAAAGACAAATGATGATGGACCAAATGGCTTGATAATATATTTGTAAGAACTAGAATTTTATTTGCAATACGCTGGCGTGTGTTAAAATCCTCACAGTATCTAGTATTGTTGAAGTTATCGCTAACATTTTTTGACGAGATTTACAAACTCTACCTTTCGTTCAATTTCGCAAATCAATCGATGACATTTGGATAAGCTGATTTGTTTTGAAAAAAAATACTTTGGCAAAAACCCCACTTCGCACCTGTTTGTATTACTCCCCAAAATTTATTTTCGATCGGTCAATGCATGGCCATTTTAGCAGGTGTGACGGACGGAAGATAGATATATATATATATATATATATATATATATATATATATATATTAGTAGTAGTAGTAATAATCTTATAAGTATAAGAAATTATACTCGTCCGGAAAACCTTCGGTGTCTTGATTTGCGAATAATCAAACCAATACCAAAGGGGAACAAAAAGGTATTAAAAGAAAGAACCAAGAACATGTACGTTAACCGAAAATAATCGTCTATCATACGAGTCCAAAGAAAAAAAACCGATACAAGTAAGCAAGCCTTCCCTGACGACCCGCTTAGGTGAAACCTTGGTAGGTTTGTCTGGCTCTCTAGGTTTATATATATATATATATATATATATATATATAAAGGAGGCACAGTGGGGCAATGGATAGCGCCTTGGAGAGCCGAGTTCGAATTCCAGTCGAATCCATTACATTCACTTACGCGCTAATACGTGTAAATCCTCTTCTTCTCCCTCCAGCTATGGGTAAATAGCAGTTGTATGGCAACTGGTCTAGGTGAAGTACAACTCTGAATTCAAAACTTGCGGAGGATCGTTTGGGGACCTTGGCACGTAGTGCACCAGGTCTCTGTATTCGGCCCTTCAAAAAGTGTGGATGGTTCTGTACAAAACCTTCCCCACTATAATCAAATCTCATGTCCTTTAGTCGGGCTGTCAGTTTCCTTAGAACTGATCTGCTTGACCCTCATACGAGAGAGAGTCAATATATATATATATATATATATATATATATATATATATATATATATAGAGAGAGAGAGAGAGAGAGAGATGGATAGATACACCTAGTGAGCCTACCTAGGTTTCACCTAAACTTTCAAACTTTCCCTGACGATCCGTTTAGGTGAAACCTAGGTAGGTTTGTCTGGCTCACTCGGTGTATCTAGGTCTGCTCTACGGTTGTATTGAGCTCTTTTGTTAGTTGTTACTCGTATCGGGGTTTTTTCTTTGGGCTTCAGACCTGCATCTGTGCGATTTTTTTTTGTCGGCAGAAGTTCATGTCTGTAGCTCTTTCTTTTTTTTAAAACCTTTTTTTCCCTCGAGATTGATTTGATTAGCAAATCAAAAATTCGAGGGTTTTTCGAAACGAGTCTAGTTATTATCTCTCTCTCTCTCTCTATATATATATATATATATATATAGATAGATAGAGAGAGGTAGATCTCATGTCCTATCATAGATTCAATAAATATATTCAACCTGTTCATTCGAGGAAGAATTATTTTCAATTAGCTTAAAAGCCTCCCTATTTAAGCTAGCTCCTACGGAGAGCTTTGTATTGGGCCTTCATCACAATATGTAGAAAGGATTAGATGCAATAGGTAACAAACTACAGAAGAACTCAAAATTGATCGCTGCATTCAAGTATTGCATTAATATTTAAGCTTACCTTTAAAAAGTTCAATGATAATTCTTCTGTCGCCACTGAAGTTAAAGACAGTTTGATGTACGTAGGCCCTTACTTTCCACACAAACAATTATTTTTATTTCATGAGTGACTTTCGCTGGATTTCGCAATTAATTTCGATTATTCCCAAAATTATTTCTAAATTATAAAAATTGTTAAAATTCGTCGCAAAAAAAAAAAAAAAAAAAAAAAAAAAAAAATCACGTAATAAAAAAAAAAAAAAAGAAATCCCCGAAAACGGTCGCAGTAATGAAAACTTATGAATCCAAAATTTCGGGATTGTAGGTCCGGATCACGAAGTCAGCCTGATTCCAAGGCCTCTGGGAGTAAAGTTGAAAACACCGAAAATTTTATTTTGAAACGCTTTAATTGTAGAACAGTCATTTTTTTTTCATTTGAACATGAGCTATTGAGAGTTTTATCCCTTTGTTTTTATCAGTAGAAGCCAACATGGCGGAATCCGAAAACAATTGCAATAATGAAAATTTAAGAATCCAAAATTTCAGGATTGCAGGTCGGGATCCGGCCAGAAAAGTTTTTAATTTGCTCACGGAGTCGGCTTGATTCCAAAATGGCATGATACGGCCTCTAAGTTGAAAAAGTTTGACACAGTGACACATTGATATTCGCATTTATTATATAGGTTGTAATTTGTATCGGAATAAATAAAAAGAAATAATAATTAGTATGATAAAGGAATATGTTCTTTGTTGTCATATATCATAGGTCACTGCATATGCATGAAAGGAACGCAGATATTCGTGCAATTGTATGAATGGTCGATTCTTTGAATCACACTAGGTAATACAGAAATCTACCTGCTATGTTCTATCTTTACAGAAGTCAGATCAGATTAACAATGGAGTATTATCAAGGAGTGATTTCCTTGACAAATTGACTATAGTGATTCGAAGTTGGGTATCGTGGTCGAAACGGAAACAGTAATGCTAACAATTTTTACAAGAGTCAGGGCAGACCAAAAACGGGGATTTGCTGCTATATTTGTGCTGGTGCTATCCAATCCCCACTATCCAGCATCAAAGGCTTCAAAAGCGCTTATACGGCCTTGTGGGTGATGAATTACTCTCCACCCTATAGTGATTTTCCAAGCGTAGCTCAGATGTGGCACAAGGCCTACTCTCCACCCTATAGTCTTTATCCACGAGAAGAAACTTTGCCAGCCTTTCACTACTGTATTGCTATTACTATGCCAAATGTCCGGACGAGTTACATCCCTTGAGTCGACCAGATTAGCCCTTCACAGTTAAGACCCGCTGCTGTGTTCACGATAGTAAACCATCTACATTCCTTTCGTGTTTCTTTGATGATGAAAGCAAGTTAAACTCGGACAGTTCCTACTCAGGTCCAGGAACTGTTACTTTGTGGAACAAACTCCTGAGAGAATGCTTCCTTTACAACTAAAATTTCGGTTTCAAGTCCAGGGTCAGCAGATATCTATTATAATCATCCATGGAATAGTCTCTTACTTTCTCCTACCTTACAATCTCACTCAGTCGCCCTCTACTTTGAGTGGCCTTTGGGCCTTGTATTGCGTGAACTATCAGTAAGAAAAATGTACTGGATATCCTAGCAATAAGTGAAAAAAAGTGAACCATTTGGCCCACGAGTGCTATGTTTCCCTCCACCGTTCCATCAAATTGAAGATGATATTTCTTTTTTTTTTTTAACAAGACCTTTTAGGGTTGATTCCATTAGGTACCTATAAAAGCTAAAGTGGTTTTGTTCCTCATGTTTTTTTTTGTTTTTTGGGATTTTTTATGGCTTTCTTAGATATTTGTTCTTCATCTCTTTAATGGATCTTGTGTTTTTTTTTTTTGTTGGTTTCTTTGTTTTATAGGATGAAAACGTCTTTTCTTTTCTGTTTTTCCTGTGTTCTTTTTTTTTTTGTTTTGTTTTTCTTCTTTTCTTTCACTTTTTATCTGTTTTCATGTTTCTTTCTTCAATTCATCCCGATGGTAGCACCGACTGCTAGGTCAATGAATGCTGAATGTTTCCTTATAAGAAAACAGCTCACATTGCTATAACTATCACAATTACCTTCTTTTATCTTTCTTCCAAGCTTACATCCACATCACATTCAAACAGATTCTTGTACGCTCACTGAAGTTAAGCAACGTCGAGCCGTGTGAGTACCTAGAAATTAGAAATACCAGATGCCGTAAGTTTGGATGTGTGGGAGGTGCAGTGGATAACGGCTCGGAATTGCTATTCAGAGAGCCGAGTTCCAATTCTAGTTGTGTTCATTATATTCAATTACGCGAGGATAACATTGAGAAAGGTAGGAAACCACATCTTCCAGGTTATTGGTAAATTAGTACATTGTATCAGTAAAGTCTTATTATTCCCATCACCCAAATTCTTATAATCGCAAAATTTTGTCTGGCTTTAAATAACCTGAAAAAGATTGATAAGCTTTAAAAAAAAATCCGATCATTCTTCCACTGTCTTGTCTGTTTTTAAAGTCTTTTCTTTTACGTTTTGTTTCATTTCTTTTCGAGTTCGTCTTGTTTTTTTTTTGTTTTTTGTTTTTTTTTCTTTTCTTCAGTTCCTCTTTCTTTCACCCTCTCTGATAATAAGATCGTTGCTTCCTTCTCGGTTTCTTTTGTTCATTGCAACACGCTCATTCTCTTTTTGCACGTATTCTTTTTCCACCATTTTGAAGTAACCCTGTCCACCAATAAGAACCGATTATTTTTTTTGCACTATTTTTATTTTAACATGGTTTAAACATCTGTCCTTGCGTGAGCACCGAATTTATTGTAAGAGGCAAGTAAACGATTAAGTAACATCAATCAATTATAATTTACAAAATGCCGAAACTCTAGGTAACATGATTAAGTAATAATTTAGCGAATTAAAATAGAAACCAATCTATTTCTTTCCGTATAGTAATACTCAACTGTCCGGAGTGGGCGGGATATATGCACTGTACATACATAGCAATCCAGAGAATGTGTATGATTCCACATTAGTTTATAGTAGTGAAGAAGAAGTGGTTCCATTATCTGCAAGCACAATTCCAGAAGGTCTCCAAATGGGTAATAAACTTGGAAATCATTTTCTTACAAATGATGACAATGTCGAACGAGCTTCGCAATTTGAACATGATTATAGCACGTTATGAAGAATCATATAAAGAACTAATAAAAACAGAATCACAGCGTCTGATAACCGAATTCGTATTCAAAATCAGTGAAACAAAAGAAATACAAGATATATACAAGATACACACGAAAATATATCGTCATTAAATATTTTCAGTGACGAGAGTGATTTTGCGCCACCGAAAAACAACAGAAACTGAATGATCATGTTTGTTTGTTTATATATATATATATATATATATATATATATATAGACTCTCCAAACTTGATTGAGTTCTCTAGGTCACTGGCATGTTTATAATAAAATAAATACGCAAAAATCTGACTTTCTCTCTGTCGGGTGTCGATAGCCTAGTGGTTAGAATCTCTAATACCAAATCGCTCAGGTTTCGATCCCGACTTGAAGCCACACTGATAGGCTGCGAAACACAGTCTGTGGATGACACGCATACATGTGTGTGTATATAGCTCTTTTTTTTTTCTCTCTCTCTTTTTTATATATATATATATATATATATATATATATGCGTGTCATATATGTATAAATAAAAAAAATTCAATTTATTGTATATGAAAATTATCATTTTTTTTTGTATATATATATATATATATATATATATATGGAACCTATCTCTAATTTTCATATGCGCACACACACACACACTCTCTCTCATATATATATATATATATATATATATATATATATATATATATATATATTATTTTACACAGTAGTCTCTGGAACGTATCCCACGTGCAAAAAGATAATTGCGTGTATATATTTTTTTCTTTTCGTACTTTCTTTCCTTCTAGTACTTTACAGCATGTACCTTCTTCCATATCTTTTAAGTCTTTTTCTTTCACATTTGGTTTCATTTCTAGTTTTTCATCTATTTTTTTTTCTTTTGCTCAGTTCCTCTCATTTTCTTCCTTTCTTTCTATCACTCTCCCTCTTTCTAAGAGCTTTTCCTTTTCCCCTTTTTCATTATATTATTTTCGTTTCTCTTACGTACTTTCTTTCCTTCTCGTACTTTACTGATCGTACTTTTTTTACTTGTATGTTCGGCCATTAAAAAAAATGCCTTTCTATTTTTATCCTTTTGTTCACTATATATATATATATATATATATATATATATATATATATAACCTGTATTCTCTTTCTCTCCTGCTCCTACCTGTAATCCAACTTCCACAAATCTAACGCACCTTTCAAAATCTTATTAACAGAAACTTCCAGACCAAATCTCTCTGCTGGACATGTGAGATTTTCAAATAGAAAACTTTTTTTTTCTTACCTTACTTAATATCAATCCTTAGATCTTATCCCAACTTTGACCAATAATTCACTTTTCCCTTTTTCTCTCTTTGAATTACAAAGGATATATATTAACAAAATAAAACTACCAAAGAGAAATCTGACTCTTTGAGGATTTCTGAAGAATGGTTCTGGCATTGATAGGTTACAAATTATCCATTTGCGCCCCCTCCCCATTTTTTTCATCTTCAGTATGTTTCTAGTTTCCTGTTATGGGGAGAAAAATATGCCCCTTCTCTCTTGTTGTTGATATTGTGGCAGTGCGTCTGTTACAAATTAGTAGCGGTATTATTCATTTCCTTTGATGTTGATGCTTTCTGGCTTGGAGAGAGACAGATTAGAGAGACAGACAGATAGGGGATTAAATGTGAGAAGAAAGCTCAAAAGAGAAGGTAATAGACAAAAGCGAATGGGTGAGAGAGTAAGTAGAATTGGAAAGAGAGAGAGAGAGAGAGAAATGAAAGTGGGTATTAAATGTGAGAAGAAAACTCAAAAAGAAGGTAAAGCAAGTGAGTGAGAGTAAGTAGAATTAGAAAGAGAGATGGACAGGTGAGAGAGAGAGAAATGAGAGAGGAGAATTAAATGTGAAAAGAAAGCTCAAAAGAGAAGGTAATAGACAAAAGCGAGTGGGTGAGAGTAAGTAGAATTTGAAAAAGAGACAAATGAAAGAGAAGTGGAATCAAATGTGAGAAGAGAGCTCAAAAGAGACGATAATAGACAAAAGTGAGTGAGTATAAATAGAAAGAGAAACAGAAAAAGAGATAGACGGATGTGTGTGAGAGAGAGAGGTGGAGAGAGAAGATTATTACAGAGTGAATGAGAGCAAGTAGAATTAGAGACAGAGAGAGGTGAGAAAGAGAGATGAGAGAGAAAAATGAAATACGAGAAGGGGCCTCAAAAGAGAAGATAATAGACAAAAGTGAGGGAGTGAGAGTAGGAGAGAAATAGAACAGAGAGACATGTGAGAAAGAGAGACGGATGAAAGAGATGGAAAATTAAATGTGAGAACAAAGTTGACAAAAGTGAGTGAGTGAGAGTAAAATAAGAAAGAGAGAGACGGGTGAGAAAAAAAGAGAGAGAGAGAGGTGGTTCAGAACTGAATGTAAGAAGTGAATGAGAAAAACTAGAATAAGTAAGAAAGATTGACAAGTGAAAAGGAGAGACAGACAGAGACGCTTAGAGAAGGAAACAAAAAAGAAAACAAAAGTCAGTGTTTTTATGTCCAAAACTGATGGAGAAAAATAACAGGGAATGAAAAAGAGGGAGAAAGACAAGTGAGAGACAGGACAGAAGAGAGAACGAGACTGGAAAGTGTATCAAGAAAAGTTAAAACGTGAAGAAAAATTAGACGATAAAGAAAGGGAGAAAGGTAATGCCCAAATGTGTGTGTGTGTGTGTGTGTGTGTGAGAGAGAGAGAAATAAAAGTAAGAGAAGAAAGAGAGAGAGACCGATTAGAAAACGAAAAATAAAAGATATGCGAGAAAGTAAGAAATAAGATGTTCAAAAATGAGAAAGAAGAAGAGTGGATGAGAAACAGGAAATAAATATGAGGAGAGAGAAAAAAAAAGAGAACAATGCTAAAGTGACAGAGTGGGAAGGAAAAGAGAATAAACACAGAAAGAATTCAAAATGAGAGCGAGAAAGAGAAGACAATAGAGAGAGAACAGTGATGGACAGAAAATCGTGCGAGAGATAGAATTAAAAAGAAAGAAAGTAAAAGGGAATAAAATAAAAGGGGAAAAAAAAGAAAAGAATAAAAAATAGAAAGAGAGGAGAAAAGGCGAAGAAAAGAGCGAAGGGAGAAAAAGGCGAAAGAGAGGGAGAAAAGGCGAAAGAGAGGGAGAAAAGGCGAAAGAGAGGGAGAAAAGGCGAAAGAGAGGGAGAAAAGGCGAAAAAAAGAGAGAGAGAAAAGTGGAATTAAAAAGAGAGAGAGAAAAGTGGAATTAAAAAGAGAGAGAGAGAAAAGTGGAATTAAAAAGAGAGAGAGAGAAAAGTGGAATTAAAAAGAGAGAAAAGTGGAATTAAAAGAGAAAAAAGTGGAATTAAAAAAGAGAGAGAGAGAAAAGTGGAATTAAAAAAAAAGAGAGAGAGAGAGAGAGAGAGTGGGATTAGGGAAAGAGAGAGAGAGAGAGAGAAAAGTGGAATTAAATTAAAAAGAGAGAAAAGTGGAATTAAAAAGAGAGAGAGAGAAAAGTGGAATTAAAAAGAGAGAGAGAGAGAAAAGTGGAAATAAAAAAAGGAAAACAAAAAGAAAGAAAATTTCAAATAGACAGAGAAATGACAGAAAAGAGAAATATCATAATAGAAAGAAACGAAAAGGAAATGAAAAAAGTGAAAAGGAAGAAAAGAAAAACAGAAAAAAATGAGATAAAAAAAGAAAGAAAAAGAAAGAGAAATCGCGAGAAAGAAATTAAAGGAAAATTAAAGAGGGAGAAAAGAGCGAAACAGAGGAAGAAGAAACTTTTTATGAAATATATGCGGAAAAAAAAAACACGCTGGGAACTTTTGCACGCACCTAAATAATAATTTTGCCAATAGGAATTCCCTAGAATATCAAAGTGTTTCTGAAAAATACTTTATCAGATAACATGAAATTGGCAAACTCTGGAAGCGAGAGAGAGAGTGGGGGATGGAAAGACAGAGATAGATAAGTATAATAAAAGAATACAAGTAAGTAAGTAAAAGATCCGAAAGACAAAAGTATCAGAATTGTTTACTGATTTTTAATGAACAAATATGCTCAGTTTCTTTTCATCTTTTGCCGATACCGCGTTTTGGGGGGGGGTTTGTTCGGATTTTTCCCCCGTTTTTTTTTTCAACTACCCCCCCCCCCCGCCTAATGCCGCGTTCAATTTCGCGGGCCTCTGCGAACCACCGATTTCCTCTTTCTTTCTTTCTTTCTTCGTGTATTTTCCCGCTTTTCATTTTTTCTTTCTTTGTTCCTTTCTTTATTGCTGCATTCTTTGATCTGCCGACCTTACGCCCCACTTCGACATCTCACTTGCATCTATTGTTTTTTTGTTTTTGCCAATTTGCTTCTCTCTCTCACCACGCTTCACCCACTAAGTATCCATAGACCTGCTCCAAATAAACTGACGCAACTTTTCATTCTCTTTGATAACAAGTTAATTTCTTGGAAAGAAATAAGTTGTCTTGCACATGAATATGTAATATATATTGGAAAAAATAATTTTCTCCAGCTGATGTCAGTAAAATGTACCCATTGTATACATTAATGGACCTAGAGGTCAAGAGTGGCGTACAATCCAGGGTATCAAGTTTTATTTTATTTTATTTTTTTTGTGGAGCGATATGTAGGTGTATTAGTATAATGATTGATTTAATTTGATTGATTCATTTTCTACGGTTTATCAACCCTTTGCAGGTTATTTAAAGCCAGAAAGGATTTTTAAATTGTATTATTATTATTTTTTTTTTTTAGATAATATTGGTTTATGGATTACTAATTAACTCATAGCTAGGAGAGAAGAGTATTTGTGCGTAGGTGAATATAATAAACACAACAGGAATTGGAACTCCGCTCTACGATTAACAATTCCGAACTATTATCACCACCTGCACATCCAAGCTTACAGTACCTACGATTCCAAAGCGGTCACCTATCTAGGCTCGACATTGCTTAACTTCGGTTGATCGTAAGTGAACTGGTGTTTCTACAAGATGTGTCCGTAAGCCGAATTAATATAATGAAGTTGCATGCATTTTTGTTACAATGAAGTTCACTCTGTACAAGGCTCAAGAGCCACTCGAGGTAGAGGGTTACAGAGTAAGAGACACGGCTAACCGTAGACTTGAACAGGTTAAGATTGATATTGTGTATTGTACCAGGTAAATATATATTTTAAATGACACGTCTCTTCTTGATGTAGACAGTCATGGCTCTCCACTGACTGATTTTTCTTTATTGTCTATGAATTGACATGTTTGTTTTCATTTGCATGATAACGTGAGAAGATATTTTTTGTATTAGTACTATTAGTTCATTGTATTCACTTTTACAATAATGCACTTGGAAAAAGGAATCCGTCTTCTTATAGTCTGGGGTGAAATAACAGAGTGGTAGCCGGTCTAGTAGAACAGCAATTCCGAATTCAAAATTCCTACGCATGATTGATATCCAATCAAACTCAAATAAAAACTGTAATTTTGAAGACTAATTTTCAATGCAAGCATTAGCTGTCTTACTTTTGCCATTTTTTCCAGCTCATTCGACTTGTGCCATAAATTTAATTTACAGTTAATCGTACCCAAGAATGTGTTGGGTAGCGTAATGGTTATCAGCGCACTAAGTGGAATCAAATTCCAGTTTGGCATTCTGTGTTCCCTTGCAAGTTGAAAGACCATATTCATAGAAGATCAAAGTTTTACTCTGTATAAACGATAAGTTTCCCGGGAAACCTCCTGATAATGAAAGACGGGCTGGACAGGATATAAACGTTAAATAAATAAATAAATAAATAAAACTTCTTGCAGTTTTCACTCTGAAGAACAGAAAAGAAATAATAAAAACGACTAACCTGAAATATATCTCCCCTTTTTTGAGCCACTTACCTAAAAAAAAAAAAGAATATAAAAGACCATGTTTATACAAATTTATATATAAATTGTATCTATCTGGATTCTTAGTGTAATGCAATGGTTAGCAAACTCATCTCAAAGGTTTTAAAAGGTTCAAATTAATTAACCACCCGTCGTAAGGGGAAACGCTGTTACATGAGCTGAAATGATCAATCAAAATACAAGTAACGAGGGATGGTTAATTAATTTGAACCTTTTAAAACCTTTATTCTAAAATCTACATTCAACATCATCACTTGATAAGATACCAGGTGTTGAAACAAAATGGCTATTTTTGTAGTGATTTTATAACATATTTATATTATAATTTTTAAATAAATAATTATAATATATATATATATGTGTGTGTGTGTGTGTGTGTGTGTGTGTGTGTGTGTGTGTGTGTAGTGGGGCAACAGATCATTATTTAAACATATATTGTTAAATATAACAGACAATGAATGTCTATTATGTCTGATCATGAGACGTTCTAATGTTCGTATGTTTGCTTTAATTTCGGGTGAAAATAAAAACAAAAAAAAAATTGTCCACCATTTGGATATTTTTTTTATGAAGTTGGTCTTTGATCTAAGCCGTCGGCTCACGTGATACATCTTCATAGTGATTATACGGACATTTTAACAAAGACATTTACCGTCGAAGATAATATTTTGTTATATTGACACAGAAGATTGCTATGCGGCGATAACGGTCGCGGAATAGCAGACGCAGGTCGTAAGTTCAAGATGCGGTTCTATGACGTCATACCACGCGAGAGGCCGAAATATTAACAACAGATCAAACTTAGATCAAGCACCAAATTACAAAAAATATCCAAATGTTGGACAATTTTTGTTTTTATTTTCACCCGTAATCAAATTAAACATACAACATTAGAACGGCTCATGATGAGACATAATAGACATTCACTGTATGTTATATTTAACACAATATATATATATATATATATATATATATATATATATTTACACACACACACACATACAGGGTGGCAATGAAGTCACTATATAGTTACTTACAATAACAATTAAAACAAAAGCAATTGTCAACAGTCCAGAAACTTATTATTAAAATGGTTCTGGTTAATAACAGTAAAATGCTGTGGTAAACAATAGTAAATTAATTATCGATACTATCCGAACTGTAAGCTACCAGCTTCAATGCTGCTATTTTTTTTTAATTATAAGTAACTGTATATTGACTTTATTGTCACCCTCTGTGTGTGTGTGTGTGTGTGTGTGTATATATATATATATATATATATATATATATACATACAAATAGATTTTAAAATAAAGGAATGCATTCTTCTTTCTTAAAGGGTAACTTTTCAACCAACATATTGTCAGAATACTTTGGATCAAGGAAACACAATTCGCACTGCGAGAAAATATGAGGATGAAAAAGAACCACGAATGAAATAAAAATTTATGAATAAAACTTAATAAAAACGAGGGGGAAAAATGAATATACCATCAAAAAGGTTTATGTAAATGGTTTCAAGTAAGTATAAAATGGAAAATATATAAATAGTAGATAAGTTCGCCTATCGACCGTTTCACACTCCTCCACGGCTTTTTGAACAGGAGTAGATGTTTATCCCCTATTATCTGCTTAAGGTTTCCGGTTCCTTCTAAAATCTTTTCATTCTGTTTCACTCTCAGTACCCACTTACGACATAGTGGTATTATCGCCATGCTTAGTGTGAACTGATTATATATATATATGTGTGTGTGTGTGTGTGTGTATGTATATATAGGTATTTTCCGATTTCATTTTGAATTTGTAGGTCTAATGAATTGGATCGTGATTACGATTCCAATGTAATAAATTATAACCATGGAATATTAGCGTTTGAGCCTTATATATATATATATATATGTGTGTGTGTGTGTGTGTGTATGTATGTATGTGCATGAAAATAAAATATATGAATATGCATTAAGTATAAAATATACGGATAATTTTACATTTTTTTAAAATCATTTCACTCCAAGTAAGGCAGTAAAGCCACTAAGACAAGGGTGTTACTAAGTACGAAAGAATAAGAAAAAAGCAAAACACTATTAAGGAGCTCCACAAGCGAAAAGTACTATAGAAGAAACTTAGCATAGAATTTACGGTGACATCTGAGCAATTCAACTGTAAATTTATGGAAATAAACCGGAGAACAATTTAAATGGGAACAAGATCTTGAAATTGAGGCATTAATAGTTGTCATATATATATATATATATATATATAAACTGGTCATATAATTCTTTTGAATTCCGAACTTATTTTTAAATTTCTGCTACAAGAAGAATGACCAAAAACACTTGGAAAATTGAAAAAAGATTAATCCCAGAAAAGTGACAGTTTTCTTTTTTAAATTTCAGTTGCAAAAATGTAAAAATAAGTAAAATAAAAATAAAACAGAAATCACATTAATCAGGTTTTAGTGCGAGTTGAACATTTTGGAAGAAGACGGTAATTTTTATTTTATTTGAAAATCTTGATTGATTTTTGACTGATTAGTTTTGATAAAATGTGGCAAAAATCAAATTTGATTTAAAAAAAAAAAAAATTGCAATCGATTTTTTTTAAAGATGCTGCACTGAAAATCCCTATTTTTAGGTCTCAGATTGCAACAAGCAAGAATGCTGTCATTTCAAACATATGCAAAACAAAACATGATGGAAAATTTGAAAAAGAGGTCAAGGAATTGAAAGAATCTTTTCCTTGAAAAATCCTCGCAAAAAGTAAAAAAGAAAAAGAAAAGAAAAAGTAACGAAGAGTATTCATATTTGAATCCCTTTGAAGTTGTTTTTTTTTTCAGTTAACACTATAAAATTTGAAGACAGTTTTATAAATGCGAAAAG